GGTATCAGGGAGATTTTAATAAATTGTTATTGGTTACATCATCAGACTGTGAAACAATGATGTGCCATCTCCGATTTTTAGCAATTCACATCTTCCGAGCTGATAACGGCATTAAACGTTCTGTTTCGGAATCCTCGCACTGGTCGATTTCATTCAGTCACATGTGAGTATACTTTACAGTGTTCAAGTTTAGCATTGTTGGTGATTGGAAAGCTGAAAAAATATTTTAATTGAGCAATTTTCTCACTATCAATTTCGATTATATCGAGACATACTTTTTCACCGCGATTCTCGTGTTCCATTACAAGAATTTATTTCTGCAGTGGAAAACCTGGAAACATTATACAAATGTGCTGGACTGTTTGAGTGTTTACGTCCGATGTGTGATGCGTTCTCAAAAGATGTTAGTATCGATGCGGTTATTAAAGCCGACTGGCAACGGCTCAAGTCAATTCTTCAAGTGCAGGTTCTTATTGATAATTCGTCTCACTAGGATGATTGTTCGATTCAGTTCAGAATGTTATAAGAGTGTTGTTGAAATGCCATTTACTGATGTCATAACGATAACGGTGTCATGTTGTGAAATGATGTTGTACTCTCTTAAGGCAAATAGACGCAAGTGTGGTGAACCGAATCGTATGATATTGGTGGATATATTGAACACAACGGCTGGTTTGCTTCGTAATTCAGCCTACATTCTGGAACGACTGCAACGTGCCGGTATTCCCGATGTACCGATGGGAATTGGTATTGCTCTAATGGTTGCCATCACTGAGGCACGAGCGAAGAGTGTACATTCTGAGGCCATGAATCTCATCTTATAATATTTACCTCACTTTGACATCTTTCAACTTTCATTTCTATTATAAATATTGTATGCTGTCCGTAAAAAATGGGTACATTCTTAAGATACCCGATCATTTTATGTGTTGATAATTCGTGTATCTGTTATCATATTCGATAGTTGGAGGTGATCGCGTCTAGTTGTACATTCGATTTGGCTGTATCAGATCTGCTTTTCAGGAGTTTTCACGAGCCATTTTCACGTCGCATGCTGTTGTTGTACAGATATCTGTTAATGTCGAGTCATTTAGTACCCATTTTTGTATTGTATCAATTTCGAATGATAGGCTTAGTATCAGAGCTGAGTATGATGAACTTCTTTAGACATACCTCTTTGTTGGATTCGAAACATCTTTTTTTGTAACACGGGATATAAATTTTTCNCACTGTTTAGTGTAGTTTTACTATGAGCAGTCTGGTATCGTTTCGTCTTATTGATGAAATCATTCAGAACTTTACTTTTTTTCCACTGACTTAATTTGTATACCTGTTGTTTTCATATAAATTGTTGTTTTTCATTAAGGAAGCCTTACATTTTTTGATATTTCGTGTTGAATCATTTTCATTTGACAATTAGTCAGTGTATATGTTATTAATATCAACATTTTGCAGGGTTATAGGAGTATTTTTCTTACTCTTGAAACCCATGAAACCTATCTTGTACGTCAGTAGTTTGTTGTTCATAGCGAATCATTGTATACATATCGCACAAGTTAAACAGGAATAGGTGATGTTTGCTAGAATCTGTAGTGGATTTTAATAGCCATTATTTTTGAGGTTTTGTTTTCGACGTGATGAAAACTAGATTGATACATTGATAGAATCTAGGGCAAATAAAAGAGCAAAAGTGATTGATCATCCTGAAATGATGTAACGCATTCAATGTTATTGGTAATTGCCATTCCATTCGTTGCTGTACGATGTTGTTGTTTTGTTCTTGTATTGCGTCTCGTTAATGCCCACAAATATGGAATTTTGTTGGTAGAAATTTTGAATAAATTTCATTTTAACCGTTTTGTTGGTTTGTTGAATTGCGTGTTTCGTTAGCATTGCGGTATGGTTGTAGTGTCCGCATTACATTTATNAAAGCTCACCTGATATGAATGAGTGGTGACCGTGTGGTTTTGTTCTGCAATAACGTCAAGTGTCACTTTGAATTCTTATCTTTAAACGGACACTCTGATCTGCGATGCATCACGGTAACTTTCCTGTTGGAGAGTAGTACTAAATTTGAGCGCAACACAGGACTGGCATCATTTTTGTTTACAGCCGTTAGAAACTCGGAGAACGTTGTTGTTCCCAATTACAGTCGGTGAAAACATGAAACGTCCACATCTCGAAACTTACTATGCCGAAAGCATTGTTGTGATTCGATTCTTAGATACACTTACAGTCATGATTTCATGAGACTGGACATTTCTTATGAATACTAACAAGTGCGTTTATTTCACTTTCATTTCGTTTCAGTCTGTGAATTTTTGCTGCATTCAAGATGTATGCATTGATATCCGATTTGAAAGGGAAAGACGCGCTGAGAAATAGCGAGTATCGCGATCAGCGATTCAAGGTGAATATAATAACCATTCGTTTTTTGAATCGTTGCAAAAGCATCTTCGTAAATATTTTCGTCAATTTAACATTGATCTTGTTAAGAGATATTGTTTCAAAGGATTTCTACATTAATTTGAAAAACCGAATAAGAAGAACGTGTTCAGTGCTCCTCGAAAATTTATAATCATAAGGAGTCAATCTAATGTGCTTATAGAAAGATCGAAACTGGCCTAGCAGTTTACAGGGATCTGACCGTGAGCAGGCCCGACTTTTAGCCACCTCTACAACGCTTTATGTTGGCAATCTCTCCTACTATACCACCGAAGAACAAGTAAGAATGATATAAATACCAGGCAAAGTCTGTGACGAATACTGTTTGAATTAAAGCTGTTATCATTTTCGTTAATTATTATTGCTGAAGTATTTTGTCGACATGAGCCTTTTGATTTTAGATTAACTATTATTCAAAAAGTTGTGAATGTCACCACTTTCTTTTTTCTGTTGCTCAAGTCAATAGCTGATCATTGTGTTTGGACTAAGGAGAATAATCTGACTGAAAATATTGTGGCAGCGTTTTGTTTCGGTTCTCTTCGGGTGTTGTTTTGAACATATTCGAATTTGTAAATTTTCGTTGTTAAATGTTTTATTGAACATTGAGGTATATGAATTGTTCAGTCGCGCTGGTCGAATTCGTCGTATCATAATGGGTATCGATCGCTTC